GTGGAGAGGTGGCTCCCAAAGCCATAGACCATGTAGACAATGGGAAGTTTTGCAACTTTAGCATTAATTATTTTCCCAAACACAGAAATGGATGTTCCTGTTTATATAGAAAAAAATGCAACCCACTCTCGAATAACGTACATGGGCGCCGCCATGTTGCATGTTGTTTGTTTCTTCCCGGCGTTCGAGCGGCCGACCCACCAACAACAAATCAAACTGTTCGTGAACATACGGGAACGAGCCGCCCGAACTCGGCCTATATGTTACGATTGTGTATGGTACCACAGTTAGGGGACGGACGATAATCATTGTTCATCAAACGATTAAAAGTAATGTAGCTCAACTTTAAAGACATGATTCCATGTCCATATTTCGTCTGTAAAATTAAATATAAGACTGGCATGCGGTCTTGCATTATTTTTCCTATCAACCTGTCCATATTCGTGCACAAGTGAAAACAGCGCTTCAAGTTAGCCGCCTTAGTGGTGGACAGCAATGGAAGTACGCTGTAGAAAATGGCTAGAATCGCTCCAGGCGCAACAAGCAGTTTAACCGACTGATCATCCCAATCTACTTCCCGATGAAGGCGAGAACATCTCCCGACGACCATTTAAAGACTCGCTTATATAGAAGGATTGCTATATGTGCAGTTTTTATCTGCCTGTTGGCTCTTCTATAGAACATGCACTTGAAGCTCTATAACAGTCGGTTGTCCAAGTGAAGCGACATTCGTTTTTGATTTTTTCCTTGAGCAGCTTCATGAATCAGTCGTCGGGAGTACTATGATTCTTGTAAGTCGCAAATACGAACGGATGACAAGCCGATTAATGAGATTAATTAAATCCTTTTTTGATGAAATCCGCGGCCATGCCCCATCGCCCTAATCCATATCACGGCTTGGCCCTTACCAATTAGGCCCAGATGGTGTCAAAATCCCGGAGGAGGAAATATGTTTTCCCTCGGATACATCTCGAGGGAGGGGGGGTTGCAACACGCTCATCGCAGAGCCCCAATGACAAAATTACTCACAAACTATTATCAGCAACAGGCGTAGAACTGTTTTTATTTTGAATTTTGATGAACATAAATCGTCGTGTATTTTTTCTAAAAATTGGCAACTTTTTCATAACTAATGGAACAATTTCTTTTGAAAATCACATGACCGCTAAACAAGTCCATATCAATACATTTTGACAAATTGGTAATAAATATAATAGAGTACATGTGAAAACCAACATTCACGATGTGGAGAAGCTGCTGACATTAAAAGACGAAATATGGACGAAAATGAAAGATAACGGTTTCTACTTATTTTTATGTAAACTGAAAATGTGCTTACCAAAGAGTGTTTGTTTGTTCTGTTTTGCTCCTGTGTTTTGTTTGTTTAAGGTTTTGGTGTGTGTTTCATATAGTACTTTTCCTGTTGAAGAGTCCGTAGCGAGCTCAACCAAGTGGGTGTTTGTTTTGAAGGAAGTGGTGCTTTGTAGCTGACTTTACAGTAACCACAGACTAAGGTACAAAAGAAATGCACGGAAGCATAACATTTTGATCACAATGACACCGCAGACAAAACGGCCATATTTCATTCGACAAGAAAAACTGACATTTTTGCAGCCATTGTGAGTTCATCCGTCAGCTTGCATGTCCCAGTCCACTTTCTCTGCATGCTTTGAGCATTAAGTCGAAATTGTAAAGTTTAGTTTGTCCAAAATTAGTCAGCTGAGGCTGTTGACAGAAAGTGGTGGGAAATTGATTTCAAGGAATCTCCCGCCACATTTCCGCGTGGGCGTGTACATGTACAATTTCTACTTGTCTTGAGGCAGCAGAAACGCAAAAAAAAACACAAAAAAGAAAACTGGAATAGAAAGTGGCTAGCGCTAGACAAGCTTGTGGTTTGCATGCAATGGCAGTTATGCTTGGGGATTCTGCAGTCAGTGGTAGCGCGGCCTTCTGGCATGTCTAGCGGATTCCAACCGATCGACTTGCTGCCAATAAAAATGAGTAAATGTCGTTTAGTGCAAAGTAGCCCTTTGGCCCTGCCCTTGCGTCACAGTAAAGGTCTCCCGATTTCTTTTTATACAAACTGGAAAGGTTATCAACCTTCATTTTTGTGGTGATTTATTGATTTTATTTTGCTTAAGAGAAAAAAAGTGACGCTAGTAGAGAATTCATTGTCTAGCCTGTGCGAAATGACAGAAACACTATTATCGCCTTAGAAACGAATAGGAAAATGTAAAACTAGAGGGAAATTTTGACCTATTAGCATATGAATTATGACTAATTGATTGATGACAATTATACACCCTTCAGTAACTCTTTCCTTTTATATTGTTATTCGAGTGAGATCTATCAAGACAAATAGTTTAATTTATTCGGGCATGAATTTAGAGAATTCAAGAAGAAATGCCGATGGGTAGGCCTCGTCGTGTTCGGTTTCACCATCAGAGAGCACTGTAGGTACTGTTGTTCATTAGGTCCAAGCGCTCAGCATAGTCTGAACAGCTGCCGACTGCTCTTTCTTATCCTGTTGTTGGCTGATACAGGACTTTGATTTTCAATTTCCACGAGTTATTACCGCCTCATTAATAAAGAAGCAGATGTAGTTTGAGTTTTATTATTGCCATGGCAACGATACCTCTGTACTGCATTCACGCATTGCTCTCGGTTGGGTTATTCGATTTGGTTTTTATTCTCGGAATAATTTGGCGGTGCTCCGTGGAAGGAAAAAACGCTTCGTTTGAATTTGAGTGAGGAACATTAAAAATAGCTTCCAAGGCGAGCAACACAACGATATTATTCGAAGCCAGTGAGAATCCACGCGCCATATTAAGCTATATGTTAGATTTGCCTTCTGTGATGAACGGAAAAAGCTCAGGAAATGATATAACGCATACAAAATTAATGTACTTTATAAAATAAAAATAACACTTATCAAATAAATATAACAACTGAACTCTGTATAACAAAACATCTAAAAAAATCAGGAAAATGACAAGTGCACCGGGTACTTATATTATACTATGCCGATTGCAAGTAGAATTTTGAAAAGTAGGCCAGAAGCAATAATGATTATTGACTCCATACGGAATCTTTCAGTCAAGCAGCCAATATACGAACTTCATCAAGGGGCCTTTGGATTGGGTTGAGTTCGAAAGTAGTCTGGCCCTATAATCTGATCGCCGATTCGACAGCTGTTTTCACTGAGGAACTGCAGCATCCGGGATTACGTTGAGGGAGTTTAACTGTTCTCGGGCGGACCACCAGTTTCATTTGTTGTCAGATCCGGAGCACCTCTGGCTCAAAGTCAAGCGATCCGACTTAGATCTTATCACATTAACCTGGAATGCAACCCTCCTCACTCCTGCCTGCATCTTTACTCGTCTCCCC